GACGCTGGAAGGGCAGCTTGCGGATCAGCAGCTCGGTGGACTTCTGGTAACGCCGGATCTCTCGCAGAGCCACGGTTCCGGGCCTGTAACGATGAGGCTTCTTGACACCGCCTGTGGCCGGAGCACTTTTACGTGCCGCCTTGGTAGCCAGCTGCTTCCTGGGCGCTTTGCCGCCAGTGGATTTACGCGCAGTCTGCTTGGTTCTTGCCATACTTACGACTTAACTCTATTTCGGAAATAGAACTGTAGGTTTCTTTACTGCGACGAGAAGTTTTAAAGCAATACTGAACCGATTTGATTGGTTGAGTTTTTTCCACGCTTCCATTGGTACATTGATGTCTTCGTTCTTCTTCTTATTGGATGAGGAGCTTTGGCGCCCAAAGTCAAATACGCCCCCCGGCCTTTTCAGCTGTCACTACGGAAATTACGAACGAAAGTTTTATGTATATTCGGCATCAAAAACATGACCACTAAAGTTTCTGGCTGATAGTAAACTGCATATCAGCAAAATGTGTGTTGATTATTGTACGTACGGAGGCAGAATGATGCGTGATAAAGTGAATGGCCCCGTTCATTGAAGATTAGACCGCATGCACGCAAAACACACAGAAATACACACCGGCAAAACCGACATTGAAATACTATGGTAATATATCGATTAAGTGCAACTGGTGGAAAAAAATATTCCATTACAAACGTAGTGAAAGATCTTTACTAGCGTCCACGCGGTCCAAGAAAATGGCCCGGTTCATTTAATATTACACTGCATGCACACAAAACATACAAAAAGACAAGCAACTTGGGGAAAATGAGAAGGTCCAATACGAACGCAATCCAAGAACTTTACTCGCATCCACCCAGTCCAAAAAAACCAAACACACATTAAGGACAAACGATTCGATTTTTTTGTGGGGGATCTCAACGTTAGCCCACGGACTTCGGGGCATAAATGCGCATCATCTGATGAACTCTGACCAGAGTAGTTTTAAGATCTCTAGGGACCCGTACCATGCTTAAATACATCGATAACTATAGGAGCAATACAAAACGCGTTCGACTGACGCTTTCACCAAAATAAGATTTTCGCCTTTTCGGGAAAAAATTGGTGGCTCTTAAAAGAGCCGTTTGGTGGTCAATGCAAGTCCAAGATGCTAGTTTACTTGGTCTTAGCCGGCTTCTCAGTCTTCTTGGGCAGCAGCACAGCCTGGATGTTGGGCAGCACGCCGCCCTGTGCGATAGTTACACCACCCAGCAGTTTGTTCAGCTCTTCGTCGTTACGAACAGCAAGCTGCAGGTGACGAGGAATGATGCGCGTCTTCTTGTTGTCGCGGGCAGCGTTACCAGCCAACTCCAGGATTTCAGCAGTGAGATACTCGAGCACAGCAGCCAAATAGACTGGAGCTCCAGCACCAACTCGCTCTGCATAGTTACCTTTACGGAGCAGCCTGTGAACACGGCCAACAGGGAACTGCAAGCCAGCCCTGGAAGAGCGAGTCTTGGCCTTAGCCCGAGTTTTGCCACCGGTTTTGCCCCTACCACTCATCTTAATACCACTAGCAGAAATAGCAACAATAATACTTTACCTTCCGGGCTGCTTCACTTATACGACATACAACTATTTCATTGGCTGCACCCGTTCATGTGACGTTGTCCAATCAAATCGAAGGACTGAACCTCACAAATGTTGAATGGCGGCGCGATTAATTCCTTAGTATTTTTATTTGCTATTAAAATGTTTATACGCAATACTTTGCCTGACAATAAAACGTGCTATATGGTTATTGTACATTTTCAGTATTATCTATTAAAATGTTTCATTTTCGATGCATAGACGCTTAATAATTACGTATACATTTGTTTTCTAGATGTAATTCATCTCATTTTACAAGGCATGCCAAAGTCAACATACAACTATAATGGAAAGAAACACTTAACCGTGTCGCTGTGTATTCCCCACCCTACATAAGACGTTTCTGGAGTGTAAAATCATAGTTTAGGTGAAATATAATTTAAAGACAACGCTCTGTTTCTGAGATCAGTGGGTGGCTCTTAAAAGAGCCTTTGTTTTCCCAAGGTCTGGAAGTCAGCGCCTGTTCCTTTACTTCTTCTTGGGAGCGGCTTTTTTGGCTTTGGTAGCCTTGGGTTTAGCGACTTTAGGCTTGGCTGCCTTTGCTTTCTTTGGGCTCTTGGTGGCCTTCTTTGCTGCCGCCGGCTTTTTCGCCTTCTTGGGACTCTTGGTCGCCTTCTTGGCTACGGCCGGCTTCTTTGCCTTCTTGGGAGACTTTTTGGCGGCCGCCGGCTTCTTCGCTGGGGAGGCCGCCGCCTTCTTGGGCTTCTTCGCCGCTGCCGGTTTCTTTGCTGCTGGCTTCTTGGCCTTAGGAGCGGCTTTCTTCGCGGGCTTCTTGACGGTTTCGCTCTGCTTCTTGTTCAGCTTGAAGGAGCCAGAGGCGCCGGTTCCCTTGGTCTGAACCAGAGTCCCTTTGGTCACCAGAGCCTTAATCGCTAGCTTTACGCGGGAGTTGTTCTTCTCCACGTCGTAGCCACCGGCTGCCAGAGCCTTCTTCAGAGCGGCAAGAGACACGCCGCTCCTTTCTTTGGAGGCGGACACAGCCTTCACAATCAGCTCCCCGACACTGGGACCTGACTTCTTAGGCTTAGGTGCCGCTTTCTTCTTGGGTGCCTTGGCCGGAGCGGCGGCTGGAGCGGGGGCGACTTCTGCCATCTTCCTATTAACTCTTCACTTTCGGATGTGCCACACAATCAGCGAATCTGGTCTGTTCGTACTGGTGCGTCACGGTGGGTCCTCCTTAAACTCGCCATGAGAACCGTGTAGACTCAACCTCCACGGCGCTGTCTGTGCAGAGCGCGCGACGCCGCTTTCACTTGTGTTTTCTCCTCGCGCAAAACTGCGTTAAAATCAGCCGATGAGCTGTATTAGTGTTCACTAACAAATGTGGCCTTAATATAAGATCCGTCTGTTTGAAAGTAAGCTGTGTTTTTCCAGAGGTACCACTGGGTATATTTTGAATTCCTCAAAAACTTTGCTTCAATCCTGGGGATCGGCTAACGTTCACGGCTTTTGCCTTGATTTTAGGGGAAATAACACATTAAAACATTACAGCTAAAGACCGAATACGGGGTAGCAGTTTACAGCACGACCTTTTACATTTAAACAAGGTGGTTGTGTTCCCGTTATGGCTTCCCTCAATTTTTAAAACGGATCAACCTCGAGTTCATTAAAGCACACTTGAGACCTCATCTAAGTACGCGCGCTACTCATTTCAAAAGAGATTCTGTCTCCTTTATACATTACCCTCATAATGGATAATGTCATAAACCGAACGATATGCAACATGTAAAAAGTGTAATATAGAGATAAAATAGTAATTAAAAAAACTTAGTAGAAATGAGTTCCCTATTACCAGCACTCCGCTCATTACACACCTTCTTCTCTTATCTCAGCTAGCAACGTATGACATAATGTATGCTTAATTCTGATTTCAACTACAATCACAATAATACCAATTATTTAGCTACAATGTATACCTCGAAACCATTTTCGCCTTACCTGGGTATTCGTTCTATTTTATTATTATCATTATTATTGATAAGAATAAAAATAATAAATGTATATCTCCCAAAATATGGCCCCTTTTAAGCTGTATCAGGTTTTCTTGGTTCTCCCTCATTTTTCAAATGGCAACTAAAACAAGTGTAATGGTATCACGTGTGGACAGTTGAACATAATTGTTCATTGCTTCACACAAATCTCCAGATGTTTCAGTACACAAATTCACGTGGTCTGTACCATTGTCATCAACTGAGATCATTTTCATTTGCTTTAGTTTTTTTGGTCAAACTGGATTATGTAGATTCCCATTATAATCATTACACACAAAAAACTGTATATGTAACCGATCATAATGTAAGCCACTACACACCAAGCAGTTCACCAAACTTTCAGAAGGAAATTCAAAAATAAATCCAAAAATTCGCAGTGATGTGGAATTGTTGTATCTTTGCTTCCCACAGTACATGATTTTCTTGCCATTTTGTTCTCGTATTGCCATTTTGCAGTGCTATGCGACTTTTCTATTCGCTATTTATTGTACTGTCTTGAGATCTGAAAAATGCACGTGGAGTGCTTTCTCTTGGCAGTGAACTTTACATACTGTAAGGTAGAGCTTTGCACTGGTGAAACCGGTGTATATATGACAAGAATAAAAATTAGTGTGCTAGGGAAAATGATCAGTCAGTGAGAATGACAAAATGGGAAACAACTTTCATTTAGAATTGCGGGGCTCAGCCACATACATACACTGACATGCTGACAATATATCCAAGCATTTTGACTCTCGTGGTTAAAATTATGCTGAAGGTACTTTTCATTTTAATGGCAATGAAAACTTCATTGATAGATTTTTTTGCTTTTCACACAGGAGTTTATTGTTTTGGGTGAGTTGCAGCCATTTACAGCTTAACCACACTGTAATACTATACGCAAAACCTGTTTTGAGAAATGCTCTAATAATCATGAGAATTTTAAGTATGTGTCATGAAGTGTGCCATAGTAATTGAGAAAAACTATCTGCCCATTTGGATTTTTCTCTCTTTACAATTCAGTACTCGGTACTGTGGCCTCCCTCCAGACTTCTCACATTTTCCTCTCCTCCTTTCCGATGCACCCAATGTAGGACTAAACTTCTCTGGGAGCCCGAGGTTGACCTGGGTAGGGGGGCTCCTAAGGTGGCCATATGAGCTGTTTTTTGGAGCCAAAACAGAAATGAGAGGGTATTTGAAATGAGGGAACATCAATAATATGTTAGGGCAGTGCAGTAGTGGCCCAATGGTTAGGGAAGCATGCTCATGATTGAAAAGGCTGCTGGTTTTAATCCCTGAATAGTGAGGTACCACTGAGGTACCCTGAGCAAGGTACCAAACCCCAGGCACCATTCCCCAGGTTCTGAATGAGCTGCCCCCTGCTATGGTCACACATGGTTTATATGACAATCATTTTACTTCAGTAATATACTAATCAAAACACAGTACAACTCCCCGATTGGAGTGGGGGAGGGAAAGCTGACAGTATGATCTGCACATCAGGGGGAGGGGAGTGAAATGTAACTAAGCGCACCCTTTTGCCATGACCCTGGGCTGTAGCCTAGCACAGCTTATACCGCACTCCTTCCCCAAGGCTGAGGTTTAAATCATCCTGTTTTCCCATCCATAAATGTAACTTCCAGAAATTGTCTTCATGGGGCCCCAAGCGGCTGCCTACCATTGTCTTATGGCAAGTCCACCCCTGTCATCCAGGCTCTTCTAGGCTTGCAAAGATGAGTTCAGCTAGATTAAAAGTGACTCTTATAAAGCCTCATATACTGCCAACAGGACTGGGGTACACCCTCATTTCATTCACTGCAATTAAGTTTTTCATAGGCATTTTAATGATCTTGGGTGGGCTTCAAACATGATCCTTTGTGTTTCATGTATTCATCATTTGTGAAAGATCTGGACAAAACATTAAAAGCCTTCAGATAAAGATCTTTTCCCCAGTACCCCAATAAGCAAACCTTCCAATTACGTGGAGTTTGCAAACCAACAACCATCAAGTGAACTCAGATTACCAATTGTCATTTCTAATATAGCATATAACCACAACACAAAATCCCTTATACACAAAAAACTACTTTAAGGTATCTGCTCCTTTCTGATTTTGTGGGTGGCTCTTAAAAGAGCCTTTGGTTTCTTTTTGCAAAGCGAGAGGCTTTACTTGGAGCTGGTGTACTTTGTGACCGCCTTGGTTCCCTCAGACACGGCGTGCTTGGCCAGCTCGCCAGGAAGCAGAAGGCGCACGGCTGTCTGGATCTCCCTGGAAGTGATGGTGGAGCGCTTGTTGTAGTGAGCCAGGCGGGACGCCTCACCAGCGATACGCTCGAAGATATCATTGACGAAAGAATTCATGATACCCATGGCCTTAGAAGAAATACCCGTGTCCGGGTGAACCTGCTTCAGGACCTTGTACACGTAAATGGCGTAGCTCTCCTTCCTGGACCTCTTGCGCTTCTTTCCCCCCTTTCCGGCAGTCTTCGTCACTGCTTTCTTCGAGCCCTTCTTGGGCGCAGACTTCGCTGGCTCAGGCATGTTTCCTATTTGCTGTTAAACAGAAGCAATGTGATACTTGGGAACTCGACCGCCTTATATAATGGTCGTATGCAAATCAGGAAGGAAACCTCGGAAAGCCTTTTCATTGGACAGTTAAAGACCGCCAGATGACATTCAAATTCTAATGGCTCAGATCTGCTCCTTACACACAGCCATTTTGCACTCAGGAATTCAAAAAGTAAAATTGTATTTTAATGCATTTTTTGGTATTGCCTTATTTAGCCACTTTAAGGCAGGCTGATTTTCGAGCACGATCAACCACTACCATAGAAATAAAACTCAGATGTGCTGCTCCGAAATTGGCCTCATTGAACATATTTCTGCTACTGCATGGTTGTTAATCAGCCTAATAGAACCATAACTCGCACAGAAATGGTGACCTGAGCCAGCAGAACACAAACCGTTAGCTCACTTTGAAGACTGTCCATTATAAACAAGTCCCTGAACTCACATTTTTTTGCCATTTCCTTCGTTTAATACATTACACATAGTACGCTAGTTACACTAATTTTGATGAGCAGCTACAGATTGAAGCGTTTTGTTCGGGAGTCGGAAATCCACCCATAGTGTAATATCAGTAGTTGATTCACGCAACATTGTGCAAAGTGCTTCCTGAAGCAAAACACCCACAGTGATCATAGCACGTAATACTTGATTTGCCTTTTAGGACATACTGTGCGGCTCTGAAAATAGCACCACCGAATGAAATGCAATTTCAGTCTGTACCAGTTAGTCCGGATTGTGTGTATGTGTATGTGTATATGTGTATATGTGTGTATATGTATATGTATATATATTACATCCTTCTCCCAACATTTTACCGCTAATTCGGCAGCAGTTGCAATTTATTTTCACCAGTTACATCGAAGCTCGTGATAAATTTCTTGAATAGACTAGATAACCTTGCCCGATTGTCAGACCGAGAAAAGTGAAAGAAGATTTTGTACTTGGTCACAAAATCAAAATAAGCGCGACATACGCCAAACTTGGCTTTTGCTTTTTTAGGAGAAATTGGGCGGCTCTGAGAAGAGCCTTTGGGTCTTTAGATTTTCTCGCTGTAGCTTTCACGCTTAGCCGCCGAAGCCGTACAGAGTGCGGCCCTGACGCTTGAGAGCGTACACAACATCCATCGCAGTAACGGTCTTCCTCTTGGCGTGCTCCGTGTAGGTAACGGCGTCGCGAATGACGTTCTCCAGAAACACCTTCAGCACACCACGGGTTTCTTCATAGATCAGACCGGAGATACGCTTGACGCCACCTCGGCGGGCAAGACGACGAATAGCCGGCTTGGTAATACCCTGGATATTATCGCGAAGAACTTTACGATGGCGCTTAGCGCCACCCTTTCCTAGTCCCTTACCTCCCTTTCCACGACCAGACATTGCTACTTGTGTATTCAAAACGAAAGTAAATGAAGTCGCTGTCATCCATGTTCTGTTATACACGTAAGCACTACCTGATTGAAACCAGGGAGCAACTTTCAGGCCGATTGGTTGCCTCCGCCTACACATTTTTCTCCAAACGGTTCCTTATTCTTTAATCTCTATATACATGGTGTTTTTTTTTTTGCCTTGTTTCGACTCCTTGTCTGTGTTTGCTTTCAAAATCATTGTTATTATCATGACTACACTCTTGGTTCTACAAAGGTTATTTTTTTAGAAATGCTAGAGTATGTGATTCTGGCCTTTTAAACATTTTCTGCTTCTGAATAAACAGCTGGAATATGAAAGACATGTGGATGCTTTTATAATGAGACTAGGACGTTTTCGGCCAAAGTACATGGAGGATATGAATCCATAAATTGAACCACTAAGTTTTGCAAACCAGTGGACAGAATATCACCCCGTCACCATGATCTATTATTTGTCTTGGCCACTTGGGGGGGGGGGCATTTCAGTTCTGTAAGCAACACATCTTGTATATTATGTTCCGTTATTCAGATAGTAGATTTATTTGTAAATTATCGGTCTTATGCAAAGTTGTATAGAATTTTAAGATGTTCCAAACATCAGAGACCACAGGACACATCTGAACAAGTCCATGTTTACATGTCTGTTTACTTTTCAAAATCTCAAAAAATTTGAGGCCTGCTCACCTCACAAACTTTTTTCCCTCACGATTCATGATGACATTTGGCTGATGCTGAAATAACTCGAAATATAGTCCAAAAATAAAGCTGATTCATAGATATCAAATTGCAACATTCAGAAAGTAACAATATTTTGCTTACCTAAGAATCACATTTTTGTTTTAATCTATCAACTTTGTTTCATTACATAATACAATAAAATCTCATTAGTAACAGCATCTTGCTCAGGGTGCATTAAGCAGTGAGGTTACACCTTTTATGATCTTTGGACTGTTCTGATTCGGTGCAGTGGCAGTGTTCCTGTGATATGTGGTGCTTCCATATGAATATGGTATTTTTAGTAAAAGAAAAACCACTGTATGAAACAATGCAAACCATCTGATTAGATTAATTTTATTATATCTAAATTCATATGCTTGCCTGTCAGAAAAAGACAACAGTGAATAAATGCATATAAAATATTAACATCTATATAATTTGGAAGTAGATGAGCTTACAAACCCAACTCTGTGCACAACTACAAGTGGGTAAGCACATATCACTGATGTATGCCCATGACCATCAAAATCACCAATGATCTGTGTCAGTGCAAGCCTTCGGATGGCTCGTACCAGACGGGACAGCCTTTAATCACACATCCATCAAAAAGTTCTGGCTGCCAAACACTCACATAGGTATCCCCACAGATGATCGTGAGCACCCCACAAGCCTTGGAATGTTGGAGGTGCTCTGACCAAATCCTCTGGCCGTAATGCTTTGGTCCTCGTCAAAAAGTGACTCAGATCTTTACCCCTGGCCATTCCACATGCTTTCACCATATTGACCAAGAGTCCTGAAAGCTAGCTTAATATTTAAAGCATTCCCAGACCTTGACATGCACTGTATCGACGACAGTCAGCATTATTCATTTCACACAGGGCTGGGCATGATGTCCTGGCTCATCGCTGCATAGTGGAATAAAACTTAACACGTTGTCAGCATGGCTGTTGCCAGCCTGGAGCCAGCATAGGATACAAGATAACAATTCATCACAGTAGACATACACACACCCAGTCTTGCTCTAAATTGATGGACAATGCAACTGCACACAACTGGCTTACTAGACGGTAAATAACTCAGTCGCTGTATACTCCATATGTATTACATAAGAGACTGGCATCCCTCCCTAGGTGCATCCTGAGATCCACTTCAGGTTTGATGTGACCAGCTGATAGGTAAAGGGTAACAGAATATAGATGGATGTGCAGATTTTACACACCTATTGCACTCCTCATTTTGCATGTCATCCTATATGTCAGGCACTATTTTGAAAGCAGCACTGACTGCTCATTGAGCACCATAAACACCAAAAATCATACTTAAAATCTGTAGGTTTTGGTCTCCATTATTCTCCAGTAACTTGCAGTCAGTCTAAAACGCTGACGAGCTATGATGATCCCTCAGAAGTGGAAGACACAGTAGTAACCCTAAAACCTCCACCAAGTAGAGAAAAGGAAAAAAAGATATACATTTATTTTATATATATATATATATATATATATATATATACACACTCACCTAAAGGATTATTAGGAACACCATACTAATACGGTGTTTGACCCCCTTTCGGCTTCAGAACTGCCTTCATTTTACATGGCATTGATTCAACAAGGTGCTGAAAGCATTCTTTAGAAATGTTGGCCCATATTGATAGGATAGCATCTTGCAGTTGATGGAGATTTG